GGGGAACTGTCGTATGTGTACACGTGTATATAGAATACACGCTGCCCACTGATGGCATTCGTCTACTACTAACCAGAACTGGGCCGGATTATTCTGTTCTTTGATGAACACTCAATATTCTGGTCACTGCATGCCAAGGGTGGCGGCGCATGGAGCGGCCTTCGATGTAAGTTAGCGGCAAACTAAGTTGAATCGCAAGCCTGGCAAACAAACCGTTACGGAGCAGCAGGTCAGGTCAGGTTTTATTAGGGAGATATAGGTAAATACCTTTGAACTCCCTCTTTGTACAGAGCTATGATGCAGGGCATGTGGCGTTGCCAGTAATGGAACTGCGTTAGAAGGGCAGACAGTAAAAAATTCCTTAGGCATTGTTCATAAGTCTAGTTTTGAATGCCATTTGTGGGATTTTAAAGGAGAAAATCTGTCGCACTCATAGGACCTTCTATGGCCTTCCCATGGTGCACAAGGAGGATGCTCCCCTTCGACCATTCCTATCGTTGAAAGGCACTCCAATGTACGGACTGGCAAAGTGGCTGTTTCGGTGTCTCGACTTTCTCAGCGCTGACTCGGATACCACGGTCTGTTTATCATCGCAATTCACGAACAAACTTCAAGGGATAAGTCTCCTGCCAAATAAAGTCTTGATATCCTTTGATGTCACGTCTCGTTTCACTTCTATCCCACGAAGTAAACACGATGAGACTGAGACTCGCTTGGGACACGCCCTGAAGTTCTGTCTCGGGATGTACTTCACGATTGACAGAACAATCTACGAGCAGGTGAAGGGAAAACAATGAAGTTCACAGATTTAGGTGCTCATATCCGAGGCGATCCTACAACGGTTAGAGTCGCTGGTCTTCCAACACCACGGACCGAAATTCTCGGTGGGGTATGTGGATGATACCTTCGTCGTAATCAAGTGGGATCAGATGCTCCCGTTCAAAGAACGTCTCAATAGCGTCTTCCCGCACATGCAATTTAAGATGGAGCAGGACGAAATCAACCAGCTGACCTTCCTTGATGTCCTCGTCTGCCGTAAACATTGTGATGGTCTTAAGACCAAAGTGTTCAGGCAAGCGGCAAATACGGTGCAAGTACTGAACTTCAACAGCAATCACTCAATCAACCACAAATGCAGTTGTGTAAGGATGTTTCATCGGCGTGTTGAGACGCACTGTCGTGAACGGAAGAAGAAGTTGCCGAAATGCAATATCTTCTAGGGGTGTTCAGAGACGATAGCTACCTGCGTAACTTTGTCAACCGGCGCATGCGCAAACGAGACGAGCGACAAAATCGCACCGACCCCAAATTTTAATGAGCGATTCCTTACGTTAAAAACGTCTCGGGAGCCGTTGGCCGCCTTCTCGCACCACTCGGAATTGGG